AAAAAAAAAACGCGAATTTATCTCATAATGTCTTTGGATACCTTTTCAAATAACATGTTGAAATTTTTATATCAACTAATTTATGAGCTAAATTTACCGAATATCTTTATCATACAAGCTAATTTTTGAGACAAGTTATAAGTTATCAACTATAAGTTAAATAATTCACTTATACGCTATCAAATAGTTTATCAGCTAACTTATCACCTAAGTTTATCAAACATAGTCTTGGTAGTATCGAACAACTAGTAAGTTGTAACCTTAAGGGCGTGTTTGTATGCACATATATCTGCTTAAAATGAGTTTTATTGTTAACTAAACTAATTTTGAAAAAAGTGGTATGATTAATTTTGAAAAAAGTAGTATGATTAGTTGTTAGTGTGATTTTTTTTTTATTAATAAATATTTAAAATAAAATAATTATAGTTGATTTGATGTAAAAGTAAGAGAAAAAATAATATGAAGTGATAGTCAATTTAAATTATGTGAGTATATGAATAATAAATTAAAGTTAATATGATGTGTAAGAATAATTAATAATGTTATCTATTTATATTGATAATATTGAGGATAACGAGGCTAAATTAAGATTGAGTCGAAATTTAGAGTATAAATTGCGATTGAATTTAAATTTTAATACACCATAAATTTTTTTAACTTTTTAGTAATTAAAAACACTAGTACAACACCCGTGTATTACACGGGTGCTTGTTAAAAAATTATTCTTAAATTTTAAAATTAATGAGAAAACTATATTAAATTTAGTTTACTTTTTTTTAAAAAAAATATATATTACTATATATTTTAGAATGATATGTGTTACTTATGACTTACATGTGTTATATTATAATAGTTTTTATAACTTCATATAACTACTTGAAATATAAATATATTAGTTGATAAATAATTTTATTTTTTAATTAATATTAACAATAATTTTATTATTGTTATAAAGATATATATAAATTATTTTTTTTATACATACAATATGGATGTTAAATCGAAACTCATCAAAAGAAGATTAATTTGATATATTACATATGTAAAACTGATAAAAAATACAAAAGTTGTTAACTTTTAAAATATATATACAATTTAATAGTTATAATAATGAATGATATTGAAATACAATTAATATATGTAACATGACCATAAATAATCAATATATATATGGTAATCCGAACCTAATTATTTTTTGGTTTGGAATTAAATTAAAATTTAAAAAAAAAAGCCTAATAACGAAGCATGTAATTTTGTCACATAGGATTCCGAAGCACCAGAAGCAGCTATGTAGGCTCAGCGCGTTCTGTATTAATATATATATAGTACAACACCCGTGTATTACACGGGTGCTTGCTAATTTTTTTTCTTAAAACCTAAAATTAATGAGAAAAAGTAGTTTGAAAATTTAAATACATTTTACAAGAATATATATACTATTATATATTTATTGTGACACTTTTTATTTGTGCAACTTACTTGTGTTATATTATACTAATTTTTTTAACTTATAATATATAACTACATTACATATAAATATATCAATTAAGAAATAATTTTATTTTTCTAATAAATTTTAATAAATATTATTATTTTTGTTATTATAAAGATAAATATAATTTATTTATTTCATATATACAATATGGATGTCAAATCGAAGATCATCAAAAGATGATAAATTTGATATATTATATATGTAAAACCGATAAGAAATACAAAAGTTATCAACTTTTAAAATACATATATAATTCAATAGCTTATTGAAGGAAACAAATCAAAATTCAGGGATATATTAGTCACTTAGTGTCTCACTATGTAAAATTACAAAGAATTAAATTATATTAGTAAAAGTGATATTAAAATACGCTAAATAATATGTATGGAATACCCGAACCTAGATTATTAATTATTAATATATCAATATTATTTATCCAAACCTAATTACGAAGCATGATTCTTCGCCAAATAGGATTCTGAATCACCAGAAGCAGTCACGTACACTCAGCGCATTCTGAAATTATATATAGGGAGGATTGAATTTCTCAAAATATCGTGAATTTGTTTCTTTTTAGCCGTCCAAAACATTATTAATATTATATTTTTTTTCCTCAAAATTCGGGAGAAAAGAGGTGAAAAAAGCCCGTAATTAGGGTGTCTCCAATGGTTAGCTATTTGGCTAGCTATTATGACGTGGACAGGGGAAAAGTAAGAGAGAGAGTAGTCACTAACTACTAACAAATAGCTTATCTATTTCACGTAGCCCAATATTATGTGAGAGGAGTATGTGGGTCCAATAGTGTAAAATAATTATTTTTCTTATCTCTCACATCCATGTCAGCTGACTATATAGCTAGTAATAGCTATTACCATTGGAGATGCCCTTAGTAACCGGTCTAAACCGAATAAATAACTAAATTCAGGCCAACAGCCGACCTTCACCGACAAATACCGAGCATGTATTCCACGTGTCGCTCGGCCAGCTTCGGCAGGTGTCGGTGCGTTGAAGGCCAGTGAGCCCCGCACCGCGCAGCGCCGTAACCCAGGTGGCGCTTCAAGATTTGAGTTAAATCACACAGATATCGCCACGTGTCCCGGTGACAGATTCCTAGAAACTACCATCGGTGACTTTAGCAAGTTCACAATATTAATTATCCGTTAATTGATGTTGGCTTTTTTTTTTTAAATGTTATTATAGTTTCACTTTCATCAACTATTAGCTAAATAAATATCGCGCATTTTATATTATTTTACATATTTTTTTATTATTATCATGATTTAGCTAATAAATACATTACGTCTGTTCATATTTATTCTTCATTTTTTCTCATAACATTCATCTCTATCTCTATTAAATAAGTTAATATTGACAAAAAAATATTTTTTTTAATTAATATGTAATTTTTCAAAACTGACATATATTTAAAAAATAAGAGTAAATAGAATAATCATAGTTAATTAATCTCGGGATTAATTAGTTTATATTTTTGTTGCAGTATTAGTGGAATTAGGGTTTCTTTAATTAGCTCTTTTGATAGTGATTATTCACATTTTAGCTGGCAATCGAATATTCCAACAGATTCGTTTCAACTTTGTGGCCAATTTTTATATTCACCATTCAATTAATTATATAATCCAGAAATTTCTGAAAAAAAA